CAGTCCCACCAGCAGTGTACAAGTGTACCCTTTTCCCCACATCCTCGCCAACACTTATTGTTGTTTGACTTCATAATGGCTGCCAATCTTACTGGAGTGAGATGKTATCTTAGGGTGGTTTTGATTTGCATGAGAAATTGTTATAGCTTTTGACAAAGAATAAGAAATGGAAAATGGACAATTAATTGGGATTACAACTGAATATGGTACTTCAAGTCTCTAATGTCAGTCTGCTGAAACAGTAAAATAAAACAACTTGTGTTTGATTTTTAAAAACAGAATAGTTATTGGGGCTGAGACTGTAGCTCATTGGCAGAGCACTCACCTAGCACATGTAAGGCACTGGGTTCAATCCTTAGCACCACATAAAAATGAAACAAATAAAATAAAGGCATGCTGTCCGTCTATGACTACAAAAAAAAATTTTTAAACAGAATAGTTATTAAATAATCACGACTGCATCTATCTTTCTTCATTATTGCTAACATTATACAATAATGAACATTACTGCAACACATTATAAATGTGTGGTCAGAAAACAATATCAGATTCATAAACCTTCTAGGTGTTTGCTCTTTTGAGGAAATGGCTATACTATAGCATGCTCTTCCTTCTAAAATCTGTGGAACTGGAAATGGTTTCAATTCTTCCAGTAATTTCATAAGTACTCATTTTAATTAACTTTGTTAATAGCTACAACAGTTTATAGCATCAAAATTAATATTGTATTGATAAAATCAACAGCCAGGGGAGGTCTAAGCTAGACCTCTTTTGGAAAGCAATTTATCAATCAGCTATAAAYAATAAAATTATATGAGCCTTTCAAACCAATAGTCCTTTAACAGAAGAAAAATCTTGAGGCTTACTCCAGAATTGACTAAAATAATTAAAAACTAGAAACAAAGGAAGAATGACTGGCAAAAAGTCCATGTCAAAATGCTAACTAAGGGCTGGGGCTGTAGCTCAGTGGCAGAGTGCTTGCACTCTGAGCACATGTGAGGCACTGGGTTCGATCTTTAGCACTGCATAAAAATTAACAAATAAAATACAGGCATGCTGTCCACACACAACTACTCCCCMMAAAATTTTTTTAAATGCTAATTAAAACATCCTCAATGTAAAACAGGTATGGTCACTACAAGTTCTCTGACTTTAAAAAGACACATGTACAGGAGGATGATAAAGTCAAAGTACTAGACAAATTTGTAGGGGTTTTCCAAATTTGTTAAAAAAAAATGATTTATTTCTATTAATCTGTTGTTTTTTATTCTACCAAGAGAAAAACAGCTTGTATTATATACTTTGTGCAGGAAAAATTGTTTCACAAATGATTTTTTAAATGTCTATCCTATTAAAATGCATCCATAAAAATGAAAAATAGATTCACTTTCCTGTCCAGAATTATTAAATAGTAACTTACTTAGAAAGAATTCCTCGAAGTCAGTTTTCTCCACACAGCTAGTATACATGCGCAGGGCTGCAATCTTAATTTTCTAGACAAAGAGAACAAAAAACTTAACACAGGACCAAGAGGATATTCCAGTATCATAAGAAATGGGTCATAAAATCATACATTTCTTCAACTAGAAGGGTCTAAAACCTATCTCTAGGCAATTTAATCTAATAACATTTTGGTTTTTTTTGGGGGGGGGTTGGTACTGGGGATTGAACCCCCTGCCGTTTTTGTTTTGTTTTTTTTTTTTTTTTTTTGAGACAGGATATTGCTAATTGGCTTAACCCCTGGCCAAGATGCATGCAGACTGACTTTAAATTTGCCATCCTCCTGCCTGAGGGAAAGGATCCCTATAATCCCTAGCCTTGCAGAGATTGGAGATTGGAGATTACGGGTGTGCACCACAACTCCCCACCCAGCTGACATTTTTTTCTAGCCATTTTCTAGCCACAACTTTATACAATGTTAAGAATGTTAGCATGAAAATGTCAAAGATTTCTCTCAATACTTAAATGAAATCACTCCTTTTAATTTTTCACCACATGTGAACTTCTAAGCTGATGTTCAACATTATCCACAACAACTCTTTATACTCTGAAATCCTTTATATTAAAAAATTACTTAGGGTTGGGGTTGTAGCTCAGTGGTAAAGAGTTTGTCTAGTACTGGTGAGGCACTGGATTCAATCCTCAGCACGCATAAAAATAAATAAATAAAATTACCTATTATTTTTACCAAAATCAAATAAAAACCTTTCATCTTTTCCTTAAAAACATTACTAATCAGTCTATAAATCTTTTATTTTTTTTGGAGGGGGAATCTTTTCCATATTGTCTTTAGTTTTAATAGTTTGTAGATTAACAATACTATATATATAAACAAAAGTTTCTAATGAATATAAAATACAGTAGAACACTCAACCTTTTTCTATTTCCCAAAGTAATAAGAATTTTCTCTTGGGGGCTGGGGATGTGGCCCAAGCGGTAGCGCGCTCGCCTGGCATTCGTGCGGCCTGGGTTCGATCCTCAGCACCACATACAAACAAAGATGTTGTGTCCACCGAGAACTAAAAAATAAATATTAAAATTCTCTCTCTCTCTCTCTCTCTCTCTCTCTCTCAAAAAAAAAAAAAAATTCATCTGGAGAATATCTTTAAAAAAAAAAGAATTTTCTCAGGATTTTATTTATTTATTTGTTTGTTTGTTTATTTATTTTTGGTGCCAGGGATACTGTACCACTGAGCCACATCACATCTCTATCCCTTTTTATTTTTAGACAGGATCTTACTAAGTTGCTTGGGGCCTTGCTAAATTGTTGAGGCTGGTCTCAAACTTGCAATCCTCCTGCCTTCAACCTCCCAAGACACTGAGATTACAGGCGTATGCCACCCTGCCCAGCTTAGGATCTTGATATAAATGACAATTCTAACTTATTTGCTAACCTATATACTTAAGATTTGTATATTTTACTGTATGTAATTTATGCCTTAATAAAGACAAATCTAAAAATCAAAAGTAAATTCCTTTGAATTGTGCCTGATGTTACACTGTACACCTGGAATCCCTGCTACTCAGGAGGCTGGGCAGAAAGATCATTAGTGTGAGACCAGCCTAAGCAATTTAGTGATACCTTGTCTCAAAATGAAATTGGGAAGGTGTGGGGATATAGTGCAATGGTAGAGGCAAGCACAAGGCAAGCACAAGCCCTGGGTTCAATCCCCAGTACTGGGTAGGGGAGGGGAAGAGCTAAACTGAATTGTTAAAAGTCTGAAGACCAACTCAGTGCTACAGAAACATATTTTCAAGGATTTTTAAAACATCTCATTAAGAGGGCAAGATATCATACACCTGTAATCCCAGTGATTTGGGAGGCTGAGGTGGGAGGATTGAAAGTTCAAGGCTAACCTCAGCAACTCAATGAGACCCTGTCTAAAAAAAAAGTGGGGAGCTAAGGACATGACTCAGTGGGAAAGTGCCCTTGGATTCAATCCCCAGAACCCCCC